GAGGCCTAGAGAATCTGTGCGTGAACTCGAATCTGACTCAGAGCCTACACACCCAACTCTCAACCCGACTTACTGTTTCTTCCTATAGATCGACCTAAATGAACTGAAACCAAAACACCCCAAACTGGTTTGAATTCTACAAACCGTTTTGGACTGATTGAATCGCCTTTTAAACCTTTGACCAAAGTTGATTAAGGGCATTTTAAGTATTTCAATCATAATTTTTTAATTTTTTTCATTTTTTGTTCAATTTTTTTATATTTCTATTACTTAATTTCTTATTTTTATGGTATTTTTATTTTATTTTTGTATACTTTGGATAGGAAAATAAAATAAAAGGTAGAAAATATAAACTTCTTTTAATTGAAATTGATTTAAAATAATTGCAAAAAAATAAACTTAGGAAAATTTGAAAATTTAATTTTCTCTTAAATACTTAAAAAATAATAATAAATAATGAAAAAAAATTTAATGAATAAAAATAAAGAAAAATATAAAAAAGATAAAAAAATAATAAAAATACCAATAAAATTACCAGTGATGATTTTATTAAAAATATTTACACAAAGAAAATTTTTAAAATATTCTAAAAGTGTTAGAAATATTTTAAAAAATTTCAAGTAAAAAAATATTATTAATAAAAAAATCATAAATGGTGATTTTTCATACAAAGAAAATTTCTAAAATATTCCAAGAGTGTTGGAAATATTTTAGAATTTTTCATAAAAATAGTAATAAGAATATTCACTTTGAATAAATAGGAAAAATTAAAAAATACATAAAGAAAAGAATAATAAATATAATAATAAAATCACAAGTGGTGATTCTTAGAAAAGTATCTTTCAAAAATTTTGCTAAAAGTGTTGGTAAGATTTGTGAATAATGTTTTCAATAAAAAATAAAAAAATATAAAATACTTAAATTGTCAAGGTAAATAAAATTTTACAAGAATAAAATTTTCTAGGTAAATAATTTTTTCACATGTTCTAAAAGTGTTGAAATATTTTGAAATTTTGACCAAAAAATTCTTACTTACTTTAATAAATAAACAATAAAAACATTATAAAATAGATTAAAATTTTCTTAGATATTAAAATTAACAGAAAGTTACAAGTAGTGATTTTCTTTTAAATTTTTAGAATTATACCTATTAGCATAAGAGAATTATAACCTATTTTGCTTTGAAAGTATTAAAACAAATCTGATGACGGAGTTTTTTTTAAAAAATGAGTAATTTCTTTGAATACTATTGCAATGAGAAAATTTCTTAAGTTATATTGAAAATGTTAGAAATAACTTTGAAAGTTTTCAATTTACAAGTAATAAAAATAAAAATGAAAATAAAAATAAATGATAACGTAATAAGTAAAAGACTATTTGAATAAGACCAATTTAGGATCAAATAAAATTAATCGGTACTGTTTTTAGACAAGCGCTATGGGGTTGTTATAATTTTTTTTTACAAATAATTGTACTCTCAAATCCAATCTCAAATTTGTAGATCAAATGATAGGATTTGTGGCCAATCGTACCTCAACAAAAAAAAAAAACGGTGGTTACTCCTGACTTTTTACGTTTAGCAATCGAGTTCTTGGACCAATACATTATGACAACATTTATGATATAGCAAACATAGTTAAAACAAAATTTCAAATATAACTTTTTTATTCCCTTTTAACCACATTTTGAAACAAAAAAAAATGTGATTTTTGATAGATTATGAATCACTTTTGCAAACTAATAAGTATGGTCTTTGTTAGTAAAAACTACATTTTTAAGTATTAAAAATATAATGTTTAATATTATATATATTATATATTTCTCACATAAGAAAATGTTGTTGATATAAAAATATTTATTTATTTTGTTATATTTTAATTGATTTAATACATTTCAAATATAAAATGTAATGCATTCTAAAATAAAAATAAAATTCGAAAACATAAAATTACATATATCTATTACATTTATTCTTTTAAAAATGTTGTTTTTATTTGTCTTTTTAAAAATATTATTTTTATTCTATTTAATATACCACACATTCAATCCTGTGCTTAGTGTTCAATTGTGTAGCTAGAATTACACCTTTTGTACAATTGTATTGTTATGAATGCATATTTTCATGTCATAATGGGTCTCTATTTATCATATAATTACATTGATTTTTTAGAATAAAAAAGATAAAAAAACATTTATTATTGAGGTTAATTGTGAGACAAAATTAACTTCTTCTTGAAATATTAAAAAACCATAAGAAGAGGTGGGTTTATAATTTCGAAATATTTAGACACTATTGAGAATCTTATAATACCTCTAAGAATCAAATATCATAAACCAAACATGAAAATCACATTACCAAAAGTAAGATTTTAGAGGGTAATTTTAATTTTCCTCTAACCAAATGACCTCTTAATATTTTTTTTTATTTTAACAATTGTTACTTCTATTAAAAATATAAAAAATACTTTTTTATTCATTAAATTTATTAAAAATATTATTGTATACGAACAATAAAAAAATTGAATCTACGAAAATGTACGAGCCAATTTCTAGTGAAAAAATTAAAATAAAATAGAAATAAAAAATTAAATATCATAAGTGAAATTTACCTAAGAAAAATGTCATAATACAAACTCAAAAAACAAGAAAAACGTCATATCACGTGCTTAAGTAGTGCTTGTTTTAATTACTAGTGCTTGTTTTAATTACTAAGGATTAATATTACGATTATTCTTAAATTATATTAAAATATTTAATGTAATATCTAAATTTTAAAAACTTTTAATGTATATTCAAATTATAAATTTATTGATTAATGTAATGCTTTATTTAGTATATATAATCATTTAAAATTAATTATATTAGAGATTTAATAAATTTATAATTTAAATATCATATTAAAATCTTTTATAATTTAAATGACATATTAATTGTGCAAAGAAAAAAGTGAAAACCGCCTGTGTATATATATATATATATATATATATAAGTCAAAATCTCTAATAAAAAAAAAAAATTGTTGTGAATAGTTTATATTTTTGACATGTGCTAATATAAAAAATCGATATGTGTTCATAATTAATTATGCATTTCAAATTTAAAATTTAGAATTCAATAGTAAAATAAATTTAATTTAAATATTTTATTTTCATTATAAAACACATTCAATGATTCTATTAACATTTATTTTTAAATGATTAATTGACTAAAAAAATTTTAAACCAAATCAAGAGCAATAGTATTATAAGTTAAGACTAATTTATGCTAGACAATTAAAATAATTAAGTCTAATATGTATTTAAAGTGTTTGGGAGAAATGAAAAAAGAAAATTTGAAATTAATGTAATAATGATAATAAAAGTAATTTGATTTGACATATTAAAATTAAATTTAATTGATTTGATCATCTTTTAATCATTTTAATATCAATATATTAAATATATATGTATAATTTAAAAGGTAGAGTTAATAAATCATATTTTTTAAAAAAATTGGGAAGTATTTTTTTTAATAAATATAATTTAAGAGTTAAAAATTTATAATTGAAAAAGAAACAAAAAATTATTTTACTTATTAATAATGGCAATCAAATTTTTTTTGCCTTTCATATGAATTTAATGAGTGTAATTTAAGGTAAATAATAAAAAATAAATGTAATTAATTTAAGTTATTGAATTATTTTTAAATTAAAAATATATCAAATAAAATAAAATATATTTATTAGAGCAAACATAGTTTTTTTTTAAGGCTATTCACATGTCAATAATATAAACCTATTCACATTTGACATTTTTCTTTGTTGCCAAAGATTTTGTATTTTATACATTTAAATAAAATAATAAAATAAATTTAAATTTAAATTATCATTGAAAAATTAAATTTCAATTTTATATCTTATCTTTCTAATATTATTATGCTATATTAAATGGAAGACTTTCTATCGTATAAGAAAATAATTTAAATTAATTAATTCATATAAAACATATTTTAAAAATTTATTACCTATTGATTATTTGATGTTTGAATAAAAACTTATAATATTTGAAAATTATATAATCATTTAAGAATTAAAATATTTTTTATAAAAATAATTTAATAATTTTATTACTTTATTTAAAAAAATTTCAATCACCGAGTACCACCAAATATTAATTTGATTTTTATATTATATAATTTTTTATATTTATAAAAATATAATCTAAAAATAACCAACAACTACATAATTATTGATAAAATGTTAAATTCTTAGTTTCAGTAATCAAAATTCTAATTTTGATAATCTCAAATAATAAAAAAATAATTTAAAAAATCTATTAAAATACATGTACATAAAAATAGGAAAAAATAGTCAATCAACAAGTATGGGTTTTTTAATAAAAATTTTGAAATTGATTATTTAATATCTTTTGTTTGATAAATTTGTAAAAATTTTAAATAATTTATTTTAAATTAAGCGATTGTTCAATAAAAGAAACCTTATTGTTACGCTAGCAAAGATAAATTCAAGAAAATAATTTTGAATTTTATTTGCTATATATATTACAAGAATAAAATATACGTAACATGCACAAATTAACAAAATCTAATATAATTATTAATTTAGTTTGAAATATATAAAAAATAAATTTTAAATTCATAAATACGTATAAATATTTTAAACTAGCTATTAAATAAGCATCCAATAAATTTTTAAATTTGAAAAATAATTATAAAATAATATTTATAATTACATGCGTTTTATCATGTATTTTTATATTAATTTTAAAATCTAAATCTTTTCTTTTAAATTTAAGCTATTAAACACAATTTATAAGTAGTTGAAACAAATAAAAATAAAAATAAAAATAAAATATGCTCTTTAATTTTAAATACAATTATATATAAAATTTTTTTTGTACTTTAATTTCAAATTAAATAACTGCAACATATAAATTTAGAATTAAAAAAATAATATTTTTCGAGATTTAATTAATTAAAATAATTTTATGAAAATTATAAACCCGGTTCATTGTACGGATCAAAAACTAGTAATGGAGAAAATTGCCGGCTGCAAAATGAAACGAATACTCATGCAAGTTAAGTCAGACTCAGAAAGCAAAAGTCCAAACCAGCCGACCATGGATCCTTCCTCCTACGTCCGCAAGCATCAGCACCACCACAACAACAACCCCAGGTACGTCCCTTTCTCTCCTCCTCTTCACCCTTGTCCGCCTCCCTCTCATCCTCCTTCTCCCTGTCAGCACAGCCCTAAGAATCTCTACCCTTCCCGTCACCACCTCCCTCCACCCCAGCCTCCGCCACAACTGCGGCCGCTGCCTTCTCCACCACCACCACTACCACCACAACAGCAATCATACTTCCCTCTTCCTGTCCCACCACCTCCTTTGTCGCGACAGCAGCATCATAATCATCAACCTTACAGCCCTCATCATCCTCAGTACACCTTCAATCCCAATTTCAATTCTAAACCTAAACCTAGCCCAAACCCTAACCCTACCTATGTTTCCCTCCAAATCCAAGATTTCCCTCAACGGCGCGTGCCTGAATTCGGTACCCGCTCTGATTGCTGGCCTGATAATCGGGTATCTAGGCCCCATCCGGTTTCCAATTTGGATCGGGAGGCCCATTATCATCAGGTTGATCGAAGAACCGCATGTCCGGAGATTGAAAGGTTTAGGCATGATTTAGAGGGAAGTTCTAGGTTTAGAGATTTCGAGCTGAATCAGAGAGAAAGAGAGGAACTTTGTAGGTTTCACAGTGATCGGTGGATTTCCGATAAATCTACTAGGGATTTTGGGATTGTTTCAATGAGATTTGAATCTAATTCAAGTCTTGATCATGAGGTTAATGAAAATGTGAGATGGGGTTCGCGCTTACGTGATCGGTTGATTGACAATGGAAATGATGAGATTAATGAAAGAGATGAGATGAGGGTTTTTTCCAGGAAAAATGATTATGATTATGATTATGATGCAGAAAAAGAAAGGTTTAATGAAAGGGGAAGTATTAGAGAGATTAGTCATGAATTTAATCGGACTCCAAGGAAGCATATACAAAAGAAGAGTTCTTTACTTAGGATTCAAAATGCGAAACTGAATCATAGGAGTAGGGAAGATGAGAGATCACATTATTTGGGTTATTATAATGAGGGGAAAACTGGTACTCTTAGAGGAAAAGATTTGGTCTTAAGTTCGGATCATGGAATGGAAGAAAAAGAGAGAGAAGATAGCCCTGTTGAGCTTGATGTGTCTTTCAAGTCAAATTCATTGGTGGCTAAGGCAATTGTGACTCCTACTAGTTTTGCCCATATTTCTGATTCGAATTTGGTGCCTAAAAATATCAAATTTGGAAAAGTTACGAGATTTGATAAGGATAGTTCGAGTTTGCAAACTGGTAAGGCCAATGAGAGTAGTGCAAAATTATATGGTTCCACTTATGTTGTAAATAGGGGTTCTGGTTCTGAGGACTCTAAGCAGTCTGAGGGGAAAGTTAAATCTTCTGGTACTGGTAATGTGCAGGATGGCATTAAAAAGCCTTGTTCAAAAGGAACCAATGTTTCTCTTAGAAAGGGTAAGTTTAAAAAACCTCACAAGGCTACTGTAAAATTGGATGATTTGTCATGCATTACTAGAGATGCCTCCATTTCTGACAAGAAACCTGAACCATTAAAGGGGAAAGCTACAATTCCTTGCATTGGTAATATGGGGGATGGTGGTGCTCAAAATTGTTCTAACAGGGCCAATTTTTCAGTTGGAGAGAACAAAGTGGAAGGGACTCTTAAGAGCACTGTTTCAGATAAAATTGGTGCTAGTGTTGGTAAATCATCCATCCTAAAGACTACCAAGAAGAAAATAATTGTGAGGAAAGTGGTAAAAAAGGTTACCAATTCCCCCTTGATTTTGGCAAATTCAGAATTAGCAAAGAAGGGAGATCAACCTGTTAAGGCAGATACCCCTACTTGTTGTCTATCTCCTACCACCGTGTCAGACAGGAGTGTTACACCTCTTAAAATGGAAATTGCTTCTGTTGCTGGGGATTCAGTCCATGGTGTTGATTCAGACTGTTGTCCTAAAGAATCAGTTCTGCTTCTTGAAAATGAGAAAGTGAATGGAGCGTCAAGAGACATCTCAAGGGATGTTGGCACTGATGTTGATCCTGATAGTTCAGTTGCACCTAAGATTAAGAACAGCTCAACTCATCCTTTTAGTTCTTCAGGTCATGAGGAGACCAAAGTTGATCAGGGTTATTTTAATGCTGATAATTCAGTCGTTGGCCCTCATATCATTTCAAATACCAAGGAGGATCGTACTGAAAAACCAAATGAAACTATTAAATCTGGCACCCTTATTGTTGAAGATCTTAACAAGCAGTTTTACCATAATGAAAGCAGCATTAATCATGGTTTGTCAAGATCAGATAACATCAAAATGCATGGGGATATTGTAGATATATATTCATCTGTTCCAATGTATAACTCCACTGGTTTTGACTGTGATTCATCTAACACCCAGGAGATAAATACTGCTTGTGACATTGGCAATTTTAATTCTGGTTGCAAGCAGGTTTGTACAACTTCTGGCGGTCCAATAGTTGAGGATGGTACCACTGAGGGATTAGAAGAAGCTAATTGTTTAGTAGGAAGCAACAAAATAACTCATTTGCCATGTGAAGAGGAAACTCTCATTAACAGTGGTTCCATCTATGCAGACTCTTCCATCCAGAACAGAAGTACAATTGGCTCACCTGATATTGGTTATGTTAATTCAGGGGAGAGAAACCGTGAGGTAGGTGATGGTTTTGTTAAACATCTTTCCCCATCCACTCTATCACCTGGGAATTCTGACACAGAGGGAATCCCCGATGCTATGGAATCAATAGAATGTGGAGATGAATATGCAGCTAGCATCCATAAGCGAAAAGTTGGCATTAGTGAGTTAGATTTGTCAAGCTCAACATTTACTGACATTTCGTTAGGATCTGCAAATGTATTTACCTCTGCAAATTGTCTGGATGGTACCATAAGTACATCTGGAATAGATTGCAATCCTGCTGAAGCTATTAGTGGTATTGGGTGGCCTGATGTTGGCTTACGGCATTCTAGAGATAAAGTTAGTATTTTGCAGGGGAGCAGCTTAGATGATACCTTTCCGGAGGTGAGTGCTAGTGCAGATGGAAAGTCTCCAGAGAAGAAAAAGAGAAAAATCTCCACCTCCGGTTCTAGTCTGACAGGACCTGTAATCAGCCAGGAAGTTGCAGTTTCTGATATCTCTAAATCTTCTCTACAACTACCTTCCAATTTTACTGATGATCTATTGCAATTGGAACAGGAAGTTAAAGTATCTAGTACAGATGGTCTCCACACTAAGGGTATTGCATTATCGTGTGTAAACAATTCAGTGGCTGGACCTTCTCAGGCTGTTGGCACTTTTAGTTATGCCTGCAGGGATGATCACCCAAGCATTTATGCTTGTCCAGCTTTCATTGAGTCAGTTGCTCCAAGCTCCCCATGCCTTTATCCGTTAAAGTTAGGTGGTGAGCAGTTATCAGGTGAAACATCAGTTTCTGCTGTAAATAACCATCTAATTGATGCCACGGATATTGAAGGTGATAACGGGGGAAAAGTGCATGAGGATACTGCAGAAGATCAAAAAATTATTTCTAGTGAGGTAACTCAATGCAGAATTATTCCAGAACATAAGTCTTCCAGCTCAGATCAGAGGTTTCCTAGGACAGATGTGGAAGATGATAATCATCTTCCTCTGAAGGATGATTTTCCTTCTGCATCTAACTCTTTGGTTTTTGGAGTTGATACTAATGAAGTTTCTGCTGCCTACTCCAATGATGAAGTGGTGATGCCTGCACCTGATATACCGTATGATGTGGGTTTCCCCATTAACCATGATAACCTAGTTATAAGCAAATTGACTTGCAAAGCACATCTCTGCCAAAACTCAGAAGAGAAGGCTTTTAGTGATGAAAAACATTCGGATGATAAGCCGATGATTGAAGGTGATTGCAGTTCATCTGCCCTTGTGTCATATTCACATCATAGTAAAACTATTTTGAAGTCAAATGATGCAATCCAAACCAATCAATTAGTTGCTGGGAAGGCAGGATTGTTGCCATCACATGATTCCAAAAATACTAATTCCCCCAATTTCCTTAGTGGAGAAACACATGGGAGGAAAAACCAGCTTAGTCATGTTGTACCCAAGAGTTATCCTACTTGCTCATCTCTTGTTTGTTGTGCTTCCAAGAGTACAACATCTTCTACCAATATCACAAAGCCCCAGACATGGCAACAAACTGATAATTCTTCTGCCTATCCTCTGTCTGGAAACAAACCTTCCTTAATTGCCAATCCTTTGCGAAGGCAGATGCCAAAAAAGGCTTTACATTTTCAAAGTACTTCTTACATTCGTAAAGGTAACAGTCTTGTTAGAACATCTATTTCAGTTCCCTTTCTTCCCCAGGGTTCTCATTCTTTGAATTCGTCTGATTACCGGCTGAACTCTGGGGTTGTGGATGAAGTGAAGAAGGGCACAGGACCCAAAAGTAGAGCTGATGCTGTTGACCTGAGAATAGGAGGTGTAAATACCTCTTTTGAGAGGCCTACTACACCCCCCCTATCCAATGTCACCAAAATACCAAAGCAAACCATAAACTCATCAGGAGAGTGTACCTCTTCCCCATTAGCAGAGCCTTCTATTGGTGATTGCTGTGAAACTACAACAAAACATCCAAGTTCTATGGAAAATAATGATGTGCTCAATTTCCCAGAGGAGGGACTGAATACTTCTGAAACTGTAAATCGAAATGGTTCAGTTAACAATTTGGAAGATTGGACCGAGCAAAATGAAAGTGACTTGGTTCCTTCAAATGCAAAGAGGGTGACATATGTAAAGCCAAAATCAAATCAATTGGTTGCAATTTCAGATTGTGGCCGTAACTCTATTCTCGATGCTGATAAGAACCAACCCTTTTCTGCATCCTCTGATGGCTACTACAAGAAAAGAAAAAACCAGCTAATTAGGACTTCCCTTGAGAGTCATATCAAGCAGGCAGTTACCATCTCTGATGGCAAATCCAACTCAGTGGGACAAGTGGCTGCTAAGGTTATTTCAAGTAGAACTTTTGGTAAGAGGCGATCTAATAAAGGTATATGTTCATGGATTTTCTGTTAGCAGAATCTTTTATTTTTCCTATTGAGCAATTATGTTTTTTGTTTCATGTGCATTTTATCGAGCACCAAAAGTACTAAATTAAGTTTTGTGCTTTTAAACATTTCTTGGCTTTTTATGACTTATTTTCCTTAATTTTATCCATGAAGCATTAAAATGACATCTTCGTTCATCTTTATTCTCCTCTGTCTCTGTTGGAGTGTAATGTTTATGTTTATTTTCTGCAGCACTTGCAATTGAAGGCTGTTTTCACTTTCCCAACGCTATGGGAGTCATATAGGATTGGTGTTAGCCATGTCTTTATACAAATGACTACTTGTGTTTTGGAATTTTATGCATTAACAATCATGAGAAATGGCTGCCTGAAAACTATATCTTTAACCAGATTTTTATGCTAATTTTCTATGTTATTTTTCTTTCACCTAATTTGCCTCCTTTGACCAATTCTAGTTTCCTTTTTTTGTTTTTTTTTTTAATCAAATTTTATATTTTAGTTCCCCCCCTCCCCCCCCCCCCCCCCCCAAAAAAAAAAAAAACCATGTTTTTCCTCAGTGACAGAATGGTAAGCTAGCTTTAATGGTCAAGGACTCATGTTGCCTCTGTCAAATTGTCAAGTCTCAAGTACACACTTCTATCAATTGCAATCTGTTTTAAGTAATTTGTATTAAATCATGTTTATTGGTTGTTGCTAGTTATTTCTATTTTAGGGCCATCTCTAAATTTTACTGTGACCATCAACCTCAATGTATTAAAATCATAACTTAGTCAATTGGATGATTGTGGAAATTGATTGCAGCAAGTTTCATTACTTTGTTTTGGCATGATGGTTAGTTAGGGGATAGATTAAATGACTAGTCCTTTTGCAGTTGTAGCAAAGACCAATAAACTTTCCAAATTCTCCCTGGTCTGTACTCTGCATGGTGCAAGGCTATCAAATAATGATGGCATTTCACTATGTCATCCAAAGGTCCTTCCACAACTGTTTTCCTGGAAAAGAATGACAAACAAGAGAAGCTTTAAGTTAAACTCCGTTTCTTCCTGCAGTAGTTCTTTATCTACGATCGGGTATAATTCCTGTTTCAGTAGCTTCTTGTTTTAAATATGCACATTTTGTCCAATAAAATAATAAAGTATTGTTCTGTTCCAGACTGAAAATGCTGCTATTGAGGAAGAGAAATACTGTTTATACCAGGTCAATTAATGGATTTTCACTTCAGAAAACAAAGGTATTAAGTGTTGGCAGTTCCAGTTTGAAATGGTCAAAATCTATTGAAAGGCATTCGAGGAAAGCCAATGAGGTAGGGTGTTTCATGGGCTAGTTGACCTAGTTTTTATATCTTTCATATAGACTTCAAAACAGAATTGATGATAGAATACTTGCTTAAAATGGCTTTTTTGTTCTTGCATTTTATATAACTGTTTAATAGGAAGCTACACTAGCAGTTGTTGAAGCAGAAAGAAAGAAAAGAGAACAAAATGGCGGTGTTTCTGGGACAGGCAAAAGAAGTCACTCTCGCTGTAAGGTTGTTCATGGTACAGAACTTCGGCCAGGTAGGCCAATTAGCAATCTTAGTCTGTTACATGACAATGTTTTTTTTTTTTTTTTGGACTTTGTGAAGTAATGCCATTGTATCTAATGTGTGTGATGTTTGGTTTTGAATAGAATGCTTCAAACATATGTTTCGTGTAAATATTTGATATTGTAGGAGAACGTATATTCCGCATTGGTTCACTGCGCTACAAAATGGATTCTTCAAGGCGTTCCCTTCAGAGGATATCAGGTGACTCTTTGATTTATCTCATTGTGTTTCTTAGGTCCCTTGTTTATGCTTTTTTTAACTCCAACAGTGTGTGTGGAAGTAAATCTGATATAAATTGAACACATAATGCCAGATGTTATTAGAAAAGCTTTATTGTACTTAACGCAACTTTCTGTATCTTGTGGTGTGACTATATTGTGTTTATGAAAGATTACATGGATGGTTAATGTATTGTTTTCAGATTGCTGTAACTTTGTTGGTATCAGAAATAGTACTATTTCCTTTTTCTCTGAGTAAAATCATAGGCCTTTATGAAATTCCGTCATCTGGGTTCCAACAAGTTTAATTTGGGAGGAAGATGAAAAGGGAAAGATTGTAGCTGTGTCGGTGAATTTTCTGAGGTGCGATTTCACATTTTAACTTTGGGAGCACACCTTATTAAAATGAATTTCCCCCCTTATCCTTATCAGTCGAGTATTCATTCGAACCCTCTTCGCTTCACCATGTTCATTCCCTTTCTCACTGACTAGCTTTTCAGGAAATTTGATGGACCTGAACCGGCTTAAAATGAATCTAGCCCTTTATCCTTTGAGGAAAGAAAAAGAAAGAGTCCCGCCTTCTGGCCTGCTCTAGACCTTTACCCTTGTCTGAAAGATCCCATCGCTTGCTTATTTGCTTGCCCCATTTCAATACTTCTGCTTGAAAATGAACCTTAAGAATTTACCTAGCCTGGAGATCGAAGGGATGATAGGAAAGAAAGCGCTGTAAGATCGGTAGCTCGATAAGGGGATTAGAGAAATGCTTCAGAAGCTTTTTTTTTTATGCTTACTGTTCTTTGATTTCCACCTCTGCTTACTTAATCTAAAACTCTAGCTTGGTAGAAGATGAATTGAATTGCCATGTTTTTCAAATGAAAGTTATGTATGCTTTTCTCTGATTGTTAAATGATTAGAAATAAAATGTTTGTGTTGGGTTTGTTCATACCATAAATGAAGAAGCATCAGATTACTTACTGACCAAGTTGATGGAATCGAGCACATTCTTTCGGAGCAAGGCTTGGGTATTGCTGTATTAAAGAGCCTTGTTTGGCTGTCAGACCTGTTAATGCATCACCTCATGGGACTCATCACAATTTTTTTTTAGATATTTTGGTGCAGAAACACACAAGGTTGTGATGTAAATAACTTTCTTCTATTAGTTTCTAATCAGCACCTATTGTCTGCACCAATGGTGATGTCCTTTTTCCTTTTTTTTTTTAGTTTTTTTTAATGCTTTCATAACTATACTTACTTTCTGTTTAGAAGACAAGTCGTCATGCTCTGCTGGTCACCTATCAGAAAACATTACCAAAATATCTTATGTCCCAAGGAGATTATTGATCGGGAATGATGAGTATGTTAATGTTACCATATCATAAAATGTTAATTTGACGGAATTACCTACAATGTATAAAATTAAAATAAATTCTGAGATCCGCAGGTATGTTCGAATTGGCAATGGCAACCAGCTTGTTAGAGACCTAAAGAAGCGCACTTGTGTTTTGGCAAGTGAGAAAGTTTGGTGGAGTTTGCACACTGCCAGGTTGCGACTGGTTAAAAAGCGGAAGTACTGTCAGTTTTTCACGAGATTTGGAAAATGCAACAAAGATAATGGAAAGTGTCCCTACATTCATGATCCCTCCAAAATTGCTGTATGCACAAAATTTCTCAAGGGTCTATGTTCAAATCCCAACTGCAAATTGACTCATAAGGTTCATCACTTATCTGATTGATTTGACATTCTGCTGGAGATTGACTTATATGGTTAACATCTGACCTTTGATTGGATTTTTGTGCAGGTCATTCCGGAACGAATGCCTGATTGTTCATATTTTCTGCAAGGTGTTCCTTTTCTGATCATGTTTTTCTTTTTTCTAATCGTATGAATACAGAACTCTGACAAAATTACTGGCAGGTTTGTGCACAAATGAAAATTGTCCTTATAGACACGTACATGTGAATCCCAATGCCTCTACATGCCAAGGATTTCTTAGGGGTTATTGTGCTGATGATAATGAGGTAGTGCCTTATCATTTTTAAATACTATTTTAGCCCATTGTTTTGCATTTTGTGCCATGCCCCGTTTAATGTCTTGTTATAGAGACATCTTTGTCTTGTTTTTGCTTGGTTGGTTCACATTGTTCTTAATAATTAGTATTAGAACGTTGAGGAAATTTACTTGAAAAGTGAAGAAAATCTTTTTACTTCTTATACTCTCTGGCGTGCAATCTTAATTTCTCCAAACTTTCGTAACCTGATTTTGTTTACTGTTGCACTGATATTTACTCTATTTTGATTCTCATGTATTTTTTTCTAAGAAATGACAAAATTACTTGAATAGTCTCATGGTATCCTGTTTTCATTCCATAACTTTTTTTTTCGTTTATATGGATTTACTCAAATTCTCTTTGAAATTACTTGAATAGGAAGTTATAATTATGATTATTCAACACGTCTGAACTGTTGAACTTTTTTTTAAACCTATCTATATATTCCTTTGGCCAAACAAAAACCTATCTATATTCTTCCGCCCTTGCCTCTTCCTAGGAGGAACTTAGATTCTGCAAGTAATGCACACACAAACTGATGATCATCCATTGTTTTAGAAATAGATTTTCTATGATTTACTTTCTTCTGAAATGCACACACAAATCACACTAACATTGAATAAGTGAAATGGAATTTATCTCTGCTCTCAGTGTCGGAAGAAGCACAGCTATATCTGTCCCAAATTTGAAGCAACAGGGTCCTGCCCTCAAGGATCTAAATGCAAGCTTCACCACCCCAAAAACCGAATCAAGGGAAAGAAAAGCAAAAGGTCAATCGAACATAAGAATGCTTGTGGGCGTTACTTTCGTATTGACATTTCTGAACCGAAAAGAATAGTGTCTGAAAAACACAAGGCACTAGATGATGGCAACATTTTCTTTGATGGGAAATTCTCTGATTACATTAGCCTTGATGTTGGCGATGATGAAGCTGGAGAACTTCATAAAGTGATTTGTGATCAAACAACCTTCGGTGACAATGATTCCTCGGATCTACAATTAGATAATCTCAATGAGTCAATCAAACCTATTCGTATAATGAATGAGTATAAGATGACACAATCACTTCTGGTCAGTGAAGCTTCAAGTGTTAAGCATGTGGCCATACGGTAAAGGAATTGAACATGCTGCATAGAGAGCAATTTTTATTTATTTTGGCCTTCTGTCGCTGGAGAAGATTTTTAGCATCCATAGGCTTTCTTTTTTATTTCCTTTTCCTTTGGTTTAAATTTTCCTTTTTTACAGCTACCTTACGTCTTGTGTACCCTATAAAAGAACAGGAATTCAGAAATGGAGTAAATATATATATTTTGTGATTTTCATCATTTGCTCTTTCGTGCAAGTATTGAACTTTTGTGAGTGAGGATAATATGTTGTTGAAATGTATCTGCACTTTTTGCTCATAAAATGTGTGACTGAATTGATATCAGGAGTCAAATGCCACCAAATGGTCGATTATCGAATTGATAGCCAGCGATTTTCTTTGTTTCTACACCACCTTCAGATGCATGCTCAGCACCAAAAAGAGTGGTCGTTAAAGGCAATTTTTGAATAAAAACACATTTAAAAAGAAGTACGGAGAATGTTGAGAATAAAATTCACTCAGCCTTAAGATTTCAAACATGGCTGCAACTTCCTCCTTCATGGCTTGCACTAAATTCTCAGAGTAAGGTTGGGGTGGAACCTATAAAACTCTCTTGGCCTAGATGTATCTCCTATCATGTTTGTTTTAGCTTTTCTGCTTTAGCAAACAATAAAGGAAAAACAAAATAAGAACAGAAGCATATACAGCGTTGCAAAGAAAATATGTATACCAATGATTGATAGCATTTTGATGGAACAAACAGTGTATAATCTCCTTCATGAAAAGGAATATTATCAAATGCAAATATCTCCAAATCAGAACAACTTCCATCATTTTTCTGATGCATACCTGTGTCATCACTTTCATGGATCAGTTCCATATTGTTGCCAGGCTTATCAAAATCCAGAAGCTGAGCAAAGCTTTCATCCACAATTCATCTTCTTAGAAGGCTCTTCACTTGATTGACAAGGAACAGAATCAACCTCTTTCTCATCAACAGGAATCTTTCTTTCCTCACTTATGCTTTAGATCTAGACTTGTTGGGGTTGTTTTTGACAAATCCAAGCTGGAAAAAACATAGGAGAGGGAGAGAGGAATTTTTGGATAGCGATTAAAAAAATCCATGTCATCAGAAACCAAAAAATTAAATTATAAAATTCACAACATTAAAATCAATGATATATCATTAAGTTAATGTCTGATCATCGGTCACATCTTTCAAGGCTACATTCTCTCTGATCTTCTTCCTTTCTCTCTCCTTCACTTCACATTCACATGATAAGCTCAGTTTCGTTTTGGACTCTTACGTATAAATTATTTCAAACCTCCTCTTCTTCTTCAATCCTTTCTCTTTTTTTCGTTTTTTATTCGAAAATTACAATGCCGGCGACAATGACTTCGGCCAGATTCAGTGGCAGAGATTCTCTCCAACCTCAACCTCGACGCCGGAATCTCTACCTCCTTTCACCGGATCAAGTCTTGCATTCCCAAATTCCATACCTTTTTTCAAAAAAATAACAATACATTTCGTATATATATACATATAGGTATACTAATATGTGAATTATGTGCTCTATTTTGTTGTTTTGGCAGATTGCATTGACAAAGATGTTGTTGGAGATGGGGCAGAGCCATTTGTTTCAGCATTGGTCAGGGCCTGGCGTGGAGGACAACCAAAAGAAAGCCTTTTTTCACTCAGGTTTCTATCTCTGTTTTTTTAAGCTGCGCAATTATTTTTAAAAATTTAATCTTCAAATTTGGCTTTTTATTTGTTTTGGTAAATGCAATAAACTTATGATTTAAAAGAAAAATTAAGGGTATAAAAAGAGTTTTTTTTCTTTCCTTCTGCTGTTTTGAATATGTTTGAATTGTGTACTAGTGATTTTCAGTATTACATCTTAGAGTTTTATTTATGTATAGGACTTAAAAAAAAAAAATTATAGGTGGCTAAGCTAAATTCAATCTATCCAGGGGGTTTCGCATCCGACGTTAAAACCGCTAGGGAGCTCTTAGCGGACTCTAAAGCAGGGAAGAACCCATATGATGGCTTCCCACCTTCGGTAACAAAATCAGTCTCCACTTTGAAAACTTTTAATTTTTATACAATTTCTTATAATGTAATCAGTATCCAATTGTATTAAATTTACATAATTCATATTAATGTAAATGGACATTAATATCAAGCTTTCTTTACCCGGTGTCGTGTCCGTATCTCCATTGTCTTCTGTGCAACTGTCTTTTTTTACAGTAAATGTTTTTTTTAAAGGTTCCAATTGGAGAAATTCTCTCTTTTGGTGATGATAATTTCATCAAATTTGAGGAGGCAGGCATCAAAGAAGCCCAAATTGCTGCATTTGTTCTTGTTGCAGGTGGGCTTGGTGCAGGTCTTGGATACAATGGAATTAAGGTAGATAATCTACAAACTAACAGTTAATATTTTGTTTCTTCTGTTAATTTTAATTATTTGGTTTCATAGAAGCTTACAACTTTACATAGTTGATATATATTTCATAGATACTTTTGTGTGTTGGTTCCCTTGGCTCATGCTTGTTTGCACAAGATATTGGATAGATGCTTTTTCTCCTTTGTTAAAGAGGGTTGATCACATATTTGATGTTGTAGTGATTAAATCAGTTCCAACACCCTTGACTAGTTTTGCTACTTCAAACAAAATATTTGACCAGCTACTTTTTACACCTTGTAGGTGGCACTTCCAGCAGAGGCCACAACTGAAACATGTTTCTTACAACTCTATATTGAGTATATTCTGGCTCTTCAAGTCGCTGGCAGTAGGCTCAGGCTCACACAAGGCTTGTATGACATCTTATTTTTTAGGAGTTCTTCCACATTCTATAGCCTTTTTATAAATGTTGCTCCTCCATGTGATCACTAAAGATTTAAGTGTTATTGTCCTTCAGTATTATGAATGGATGCAGCCAATGAGAGAATACCGAGAAGTTCAGGGTAGTCCATTTCACTTGTTGAAATGTATGAGCAATTGCTTAGTGCCAAACCATGGAAAGAAAGCCACTTGGATGAACTTAGGTTTAAATTATAGCGATCATTGGAAAAGCCACTTTCAAAGAAGTCAAGAATTGACCATTTACTTCAGCTGTAAATTGACCATCCTTCCATAAGGAAATTTGATAGAATGAATAAGTTGAAAAGAGTTTCAAGTTATACTGTGTTGTTTTTTCTATAATCAACAATAGCAAGTGAGCTTGTCCATATAATCAAGCTCTCACTTGCAAGAAAAATCTGATTTATGTACTGAGCTAGGTGCAATTTTCTTAGCTGGCTGAGCTTATTTAATACTTTGTAAACAACCTCCCTAGTCTTGCTAGCAGAAGCAGTTCATATTGTTACAAGACATTTTCCTAGGATAGAAGTATCCAGGTCAACATATTAGCCTCAATAAGTAAAAAAATAGTCAACCTCCAACCTTTCTTTAGAAAAATATTGTATTGTCTGTTGCATTTTACAACTTATTAGCTCTCTCTCTCTCTCTCTCTCTCTCTCTCTCTCTCTCTCTCTCTGAGTGTGTGTTTAAATTTTAGGTACATGTCAAAAGGAGATTCCTTTTGACATCGGATTACACACAGCCACACATTGGACCTTTTAGAATCAAATTCTTTTTTTGGGATGAAACCTAAACAAACTAAACTTCTTAAGCAGGTATGTAATCTCCAAAGATGTGTGATTGGTGAAAGCTGTTGTAAGCTACTTTAAGTTTTCATATTTACTTGCAGGAAAATGTTGCATGCTTAGATGATAATGATGCTAAGCTTGCTTTGGACCCTCATAACAAATACAAAATTGAGGTAACCTCTGTAAATCTTGTATACAAAGCATGGTTATATTTTGACTGGTAAAACCATTAGGTTCTTTTCTCAACTCTTTTCTGGTCTTGTTAGACAAAACCTCATGGCCATGATGATGTGCACTAACTTTTTTATTCTAGTGGCCTTTGAATATATGGCATGTCTCTCAAATGCTTAGATTGGTTCTAAAGTCTGGAATCTGGAAATTTTTTTCATGCCTTTGCAAGTTTTTTTTATGTTTAGATGTTGCCTGTTGTTGAAAATTTTCTTTATGGCACAGAAACTCCTTACATTATATTTATGTGATTGTGTCTGCTCCTGCCTTTGCCTCTCTTTATGGCAGTAAGACACAAAAATGCTGGTTTTAAGCTCACACTAAGCTTTAAAATGGAAACAAACTGACAACATCCACGTGAATAAGCTGTAATCTGGCTACCATACACATTTAGGTAATCCGTTTTCTAACTCTTTTTCATCTTAATTGTCTCTGACATTTATTTACACTAGATCAGTGACATTGCTTAAAAAAGTCAAATGTCAGTCTTTGAAATTGGTTTAATGGATAATTTTTTTAAATTTCACGTTGAACTTTTGTCATCACTTTACGCTAGGAATGATACTGGTTTGAGATGGGATGTCTTTTTCCAAGATACAAGTGGACTTCTATTCAAGGTTAACTTCCAAAATCTCCATCATGTCATCTATAGTAACGGCATGAAACTGGTTTAAATAAAATTTTACTATTTCAATGTAGGCAATTCCAGAACCACTGAGAGTCAGTGCAACTAAACAATACCATGTCAACTCTCTTGCTACTCAACAGAAAGCCAAAGAAGTCATTGGAGGAATTACTAGACTCATTCATAGTGATGGTATTTTTTATATATGAAACTCCTCTAATTCCGGAAGCTAGAGCTGCCAACTGAGTAGTATGTGCTTATAAACATATTTCTTTCTGGTCGTTGATGTAGGACTAAAATAAGGTCTACTACACTTCAGTAATTCTGACTTCTTTACTGTCATTTTTCATTTTCTTATGTATAATATATACAATATATATGATACAATGATGCTATAGTAGGTGTTTTAGGCATCAAAAAACCTTTGATTTATGCTGCACTATTTGTAATGCACCATGGAATTGACTTCAGGGAGATCGACGGTGATCAATGTGGAACACAATCATCTTGATCCTCTGCTTAGAGCCTCCGGACATCCTGATGGAGATGTTAATTATAAGACTGGTTATTCTCCATTCCCAGGAAATATAAACCAAGAAATTTTTGGGCTCAAAATCATTATTTAGATGTTTCATTTCTAGAAGGATGTCTAGTGTGATGAATAAAGTAAATGAGCCTTTACAAAGTTTTATCAGATTTTCATTTTGGATTATAACAAGGATTCTTTACTTAAGTAATTGATATGATTAGAAGTACCAAAATTTACTAAGTTTTTCAGCTGCTATAACCGTCATTTTTATCATGATATTTATGAAATTTGATCTGATTTTTTGTCGTGTAATATCTTATCTGTGTGCAGAATTTGTTCCATTCTTTGTCTAATTGCTTTCTACCTCCCTCTCCTGTTATATTTTTGTTTCTGTTTTACAGCTGATTTAGGAGCTTGGTCCATACATTGAGGAGCTCACAAAAACAGGAGGTGCTATTAAGGAATTTGTTAACCCCAAGTAATTCTTTTTTTTTCTTCTAGCTAATTGTGATTGAAACTTGTTAATGTTCTGCTTTTTGGAAGGTTTTACACCTTGTTTGATCTTATAACAAAATTTTGAAATAAAAAGTTTATGGTTCATTTTTAATTCATTAGTTTTTTAAAACCTAAAAGCATATATTTCTTATGAAGCAACGTGAGAAATAGGAAGTTGGCAGAATATTTGGGAAAGATGTAGCATAACAGAATTTTCAAATAAATGGTAATCTCATCTGCATCATCTGTTGAATTTTCATTGCTGATAGCACAAACATTAAATAAATTTATTTTGTTCCTACAAATTCCTGTTGTAGGAAATGTCTTCAAGTTCTGAGGTAGTTATGAATTATGATAGTGAAAATGCTAAACATCCAGCTCCTTTTGTTGTTAGGTTACTGGGAAGTAAAGAAGTTAGATTCAGTTGGTTCTAAAACATGGTGGAAAATTCTTCAACGACTTCGTCTGATTTTATTGGAATGTTGATGTCCCAATATCTTAATTTATGAACTTTGTATATTTAGTTCCTTGTAAAGAAGAAAGCAAGTCTTGACTGTGTCATCTGTTTTGTCCTATGTTACTGCAGGTATAAAGATATTAGCAAATTTTTTTCTAAAATTTTTTTAAAAAAATATTTTTGTCCTTAATTGATTTTGGGATGTTAGCAAGGATTTAAATTGTGATCATGAATATATTTTCGGTTATGTCACATTTATCGTAATTGTGACTATAAAGGAGATTATCATGGTCATTACGATCGTAAATTTTTTTAAAATTTTACACAACTTGTTATAAAATATAATAGTTATAATTATAATTATAGAAATTCTTATTTTATGATCTTTAAAATAATTTATGATATTTTAATTCTTTTATTTATAAGTCAAAATATTTTATTCACATTTTACAGTTTTAATTTAAAATTAATATGAATGTTTAAAATGCTTTTGATGAATATTCTCATGAAGTTCATTGACATAAATACTATAAATACTTATGGCAGAAAAAAAAAATCTTATATGAAGTTAACATCATAATTTAATTTAATTAAAAAAAATAGTGATGAACATTGTATTTATTTTTTATCATGTATGATTATTGAGGGAAGATGATTAGATCAAATTTTTTTAGTATAGATAAGTATACTTTATCATTAGATTAAATATTCAAGTGAAATAATTAAAATAATTAATTAAATCAAAATAATAAAATAATTAATAATTTAATATTTACCGACTCATAAAACAATTAATAATAACACTACAATTATCGAAATTATATAAAAAAATACTAATTTTTTTTAAATGATTATACATGACTATATGCATAAAAATACACAAAAGTAAATTTACTAATTAATAACTCACATTCCTACTAAATTTTCAACTAAATTATAAAAAAAAAAATTCCCTTTCAAATTTTCATCTAAATAAAATAAAGTAAAATATAATTTTAAGTTTTAGATGCCACATGTGAGCTACCCAAAGCCTTCAAAAATCTTAAGTTTTAAGGTAAAAATAAATAAATAAATAAATATTCTATTATTGGTTCGACTGAAACAAAACCCACCTAACTCTTCCGCTTTCTTCTCAAAATTTGCAACCGTGTTTCTCCTTCATTCTAACTCACTCTGTCTTTCTCTAAAAATCCATTAGTGGTCAGATGCTTAGACCTCCCTAACTCATCACTGACACCTCCTAAGTTTCCTAAGTCCTAATCTCTTATAAGTTCCACTCAGTGTCTTTGCCTTCTTCCTCAACACAAGCTGCTATCCACACCATTATTGAACCCAAGCTCGTCATCCTCCCATCTTGATAGTTACGAAAATGTTTTGCTTTCTCTCAACTCTTAAGATCTAAGGTAGAGTGGTCATGGATAAACCCAAAAGTTAATATGTAGAAATTTGCAGAAATTAAGTTGTTAAACTTGCAAAACCTTAAAAGAAAAAAAAAGGTAATTTTTTTCCTGTTAACTTCAACATGTTCTTTGATATTGATTGAGGTTTATGTTTGTTGATTCTTCGTTAAGGAGGTGTTGTTTTGGATTTTTTTTTTCATGTGAAATTTTGTGATTGATGAAAAAAAATGGGTTTTTTATTTACATTTTGGATTGGGAAATGGTGGATGCGGCTTTAATGTCCCGCTATAGCCACCATTGTCTGCTACACTGATATTTTGTGGTTGCGAGATGCTATTACGAGTGTGAATCCCATTTTCACCCCAATTTCCGGCATGTAGCAGAGGCGAAGGTATTGAAACCACAAAATAGCAGCTGCGACGTTGCTATGCTACTGGTATTTGAATCCCTATATGTTAAATCACATAAGAATGATTGAAATCATTTTTTTTTACTTGAATCGACTCAAGAATTCATGATTTTTTTTCATATTTTGTTACAAAAAATCATTAATATTTTTGTGAGGACTCCTGCGTTATAAGGAAACAATGGCAATTTCTAAAAGTCATAAAGTTGATGATGAAAATGATGTAATATCGAATGGATCCAAAAGATGATATTGAGAGGCATATCATCAAGGTTAATGGTATAATCTAAGAATTGATCTGGTATAATTATATGCGCATTAGGAATAATCGGATCAAAAATAAAATGTTAATGGGTATATTTTTTACTCTTTGATAAAATAATCTTCATGTCT